ACAATTTCCCCAACTAGGACCCGGCTTCTCTTTGAGTTTTCAGAGGCCTAGAAGTAATTGGCTCTCCGGTCTTTAAAAAACAAGCTGGCCTCGAGTGTGAGATCCTTGTGCCTAACCCGGCTTTCAGATCTGCTGAAGCACACTTGTCTTTTCAATGCCTGTGCACAGTCTTCTCAGCAGCCCGGGGAAGGTCCTGCATCAACGGGACTCTCCGCCAGTGTGTCAAGCAGCCCTGCTTTCATTTCCTCCAAGCGACTGATGAGTGTCTTCACTTCGTGAAAGCATCATTCAGTCTTGGTGGCTGTGGTGGGGTAAAGCCAGGCTGTTTTGAGAGTAACGGGTTGCCACGTGAGTGTCCTCAGATAGGTGATTTACCTATTACCCACATTAACCCATTGTTTTCACATCTGTTGTATTACCTCTGTTTCACAAGATGGGAAACTGGGGCCCAGAGGCAGGAAGCAAGTCTCTTCAGGGCCAGTCATCTGGGAATAAGCAAAGCTGAGATTCTAGGCAGGAGTGTTCCAGCAGCCTTAGTGGAAGCCCCCAGCTAAGTTCCCTGACTTGGATTAGGGAAGGCTTCTAGAACTTTCCGTAGCTGTGACCCACTTGGTGAGGTATTAGCTGGGAAAGGCATGCAAATGATTTGCCAGACAACAATTAAGCTGCAGAGAGTACTTTCCCTGTTCCCTATTCATCACTAAACCTTAAACAGGAAAGTATTTGCCTTCTTTGCTATGGCCTTGCTCTGTTTATGTCTGTCCAGTATCTTGTCTATTTAACGGGATACCAAAGTTTTCGAATTTTCTCCTCAAAGTCAACTGGTGTCTGAAGGTTGGTTGGTTCACATCCCTGAGACTACGCCCATCTTTCTTTCCCACTGCATCTAAAACATGGCTGGAATAGAGTCATGTTTATTGGATTAATAAATAAAGGAAATGAATAAACAAAGTGAGGGAACTATTTAGTTTCAGAAATGAAATGAAAAGAAGCAACAACTGATGTTCCCACTGCTCACCCTCATCCTTCAAAACACTAGTAAGCTCCTAGCAAGCTCAGTATTGTATTTGCATTGGCTAGTGATTTGTTAGGAACCCTCTGTCACCACTCAAATCAAATCTATGTTACACCTATAAATCTTTGTTTTATATTAACATACACGTTTTCAGTCCGATGAGGATGAGAAAAAATACCTTCAGCAACTAAAAGGTTAACACTTTTTATGGAACATTCAGAGGGGACTCTAGTTATGCAGGGAACATGACCTACAAACCATGCACTACACACAGGCTCTTCACCCTATCCATGTTCTGAAACCATCTAGGAGAGATTTTGATTTAGTTGGTCTGAGATGGGTCCTTGCATTCCCTTTTTCTCCTTTGAGAAATGAAGAGAGGATCTGGCCACGTAGACCAGGCTAGCTTCAAACTCTTGATCCACCTGTCTCAACCTCCCAAGTGCTGGGACTACAGGTGTGTGCTACCATGTATAGCAGCATCAATAGTTTAAGAAGCTTTCCAGGTGCTTAAAATCTGTCACCATCATTAAGGTACTAGGTGAGACCATCTCACTTTTCACCAAGGAGTAGGTAAAATGAGCAATGATGGATCAGAAAGGCAAACAAGCCTTAGCTCTTAAAGTGTGGCCAGCCCAAAGGACAAAACATTTGCCCTCCTAGTACCTCTTACTTGTCCCCTGGCTCCTGGTCCCATCATCTCTAAGCTCTGCAAGAAGACCCAGAGTACTTGGCTCATAAGGGAGAGACAGGAAATGACCATGAACGAATTCCAGGTCTCTGGGCTTCACTCGCACCAGTGCCATACCTAGTGCCGTAGGTAACTATAACCTGATGTAGTTTTTAATCATATAGGTACAAGAAAAGATCTCTACATTTAGCGATCAAAAAGAAGAAAGAGAAAAGTAGTCTCCTTATATCGGTAGTAGGAAGCAGGGAAGCAATCCCAGATAGGAAGAGAGAATTAGTTGGTTCCCAGGGGAAGAACTTCAGATTGGGACAGAGTCATTTCTGCTGCTGGGTAAGTGAAAAAGTTCCTAACAGCCACCTTATGGCCTAGGTGGTGCTCTTATCAGGTGACAGAAAAATAGCCAAAGGCTGGGGGTGTAGCTCAGGGTTAGAACTCTTGGCTATCTTTGGGGAATCCCCATTTGATCTACAACACTAGAGACTGAAAGGAGAGGTTGGAAGTTGTCACACCAGGTTCTTTGCTGCTGGGGATGGTCACAGTAGGGTGTGAACCTGTCATATATTCAATGTGTATGTGTGTGTTTCTAAGAAAAGGTAGCTCAGCTTCCCAAAGTTTAAGCACGATATCTGGCCATGAGTAATATTCACTTCAGGTTTAATAAAAAATTGTCATCTTTTCACCCTGCCCTGTCTGATTTGTCCAATCGGAGGTAGCAAGGCTAGGCTTGGTGAATTAGAGAAGTAGCTAACAGCTTGTGCTCAGCCTCTCTCTTTTCCCCTAGAGCTCTCTTCACAGCTGTAGCCTCCCCATATCCGGAGGGCCCAAGCTCAGTTAGTGTCACCAGTTTCATCCTCCACTCCAGCCTGTGGCTTTGCTCCCTGCAGCAACCCAGGATCTTGGTTTTCTATGTCTCCGTTCTTCCTCTATATTGTTTTGCTCCCAAACTGAAGCCCATTTCCCTTCCATTTCTACCTAGGTCCAGTGTCCTGACCTTTATCCCCAAAGTTCAATGACCATGACATGGTTCTTGAAAGGTCCTTCCCAGTTCCTGGTTCCTGGTTACCACTCTGATTTATCACCTCCAACATTCTTAGATGTCCAAGGTCATGGGCAAAAGGGTAGTGCCCTGCTCAGCCTTTTCTCACTTGAGTCAGAATCCTGTCCTTATCTGTTAGCTAACACATATCTCTATTGTGTTGGGGCAGAATTCTATTTAGTATCATTTATATAAACTGCCTATTATTCATGACTGCTGTCCACATCATACAATGACAGTGTAGGGATCAAGAGTGCCAGCTCCTTTCATTTCAAAACCAAACTCTATTCAGGTATGTCAAGTCTTAAAAGGTTGCTCATCTGTGGCAAGGCTGTTTGCTTTCAATCCGGAGGTGGGGATCATTAAAAGAGAATGTTGATTTACACATAGGAGCCAGAAAGAGGTCTGGATCTTCTCCATCCTTTGTGATAGATGAGCCTTGTGTCTCTACTCCTCTTGGACCAGCTTCCTCTCTCCTTCGCAGCATGGAAAGCACGGACTACCAGCACTCTATTATTTTTTTTTCTACTAAACATCAGTTTCCTTCCTCCTTTCCTATATGAAGCACACAGAAGTCCAAAATACCAAAACAGGTTTGAAAGAGGAGTTGCCTAAGGGTGACTCTGAAGTTCTCTCCCAGAGCCCCAGGGTTTTCAGGCTCTTCCTTAACCCATGACTTTATAAGAATGGGGCGTGGCTAGCAGGCCCCTTATACAATTCTCACTCTGTGTGTGTGTGTGTGTGTGTGTGTGTGTGTGTGTGTGTGTGTGTGTGTAGAACAACACCCTTATGACAGGAGGTGACATCCCAGGAGCATGCCCAGTATACCTACCTACAGGTTAACACTAGGACTCCAGCAAAAACAAGCGGAGACAAATATTTCATTCTTCATTTCAGGCCACAGTGGTTAAGTTGTGTACTTGGGCTTCTGTCAAGTTCAAAAAGGCTCAGCCTAAGTGATTTTATTTCAAAATGACCTCTCTGGAGTGTTGTTGAGAATTCAATGAATTGACTTCAGTTTGCCTCGACTTCAGAGGCGGTTTTGAAACCAGTGGTTCCTCCCAGCTCTAAAATACTAAGCCATTTGTCCTAATGACACAGCAGACTCTGGACTCCCGAGTACCACAGGAATATCACACCACTGCAAATTACTAGGGGTGCTGAGTCTTCAAAAAGAGGAAGTGAAACAAAAGCACTGCACTGTTTCTGGGATGCAGGCTTGATGTGGACAAGCCACATTGTTCAGGGGATGAGTTTTTCTGGAGGCAGAATGATTCTGCCCAGTTACATGGTCCCAAGTTTTCTTTTGTTGTACCTGTCTCGGAATAAACACATGGCGCATGTAGTGTGCCCTTTTCTCTTCCCCTGAAGCTTCCAAAGAAGGTCTTTTTGTTTGTTTGTTTTTTGCTTTTTTTATGTCATGGCTAAGTGCAGAACCAGTCAACTTTACAAAAAGAGTCATTTAATGCTCAATTTTCCCAGCTTTCCTATGTTAAAAACTTTTACCTCTGACAACATTATTGTAGCATAGGTTGTTTTCATTCTTCCTCACCCAACGAATGCTTAAGTCGTCTCTGCTGGCTCCTCTTTTTCTTTTTCCAAGCTGACTTTTCTTTACAGCCTAAACTGTTTTAAAACCGAGGCCCTCTGACCTTTCTACAACAAACTTCTTGCGTGTGACACACCAAATGCTAATCTGAAAGCCAAGAGGAGGTAAAGGGTCTGGGGGTGGAAGAGTTGGGAGAGGTACTATATATTTGGCATCAACTCAGAAATACAGAAAAGGTTTGTGCATCCACTCCCCCAACCAGGATCCCCCCCCGCCACACTGCCTCCTACCACATTAATAAAAAAAGAATGTGAGCTAGTGAATCCCGACAGTACAGGAGGGATATTTAAGATGGTCACAATGGCACTGATGACGGCTCCACAAGTCAGTCAATCCCGGCCCCCGCCCCCAATCTTTCCGTTCCAACACCCGAAGTTTAAAATCTGAGTCTCCTGGGGTCAATCTCAGGAATGGCCGGTTACCGCCACAGCTACACCACCACTCATCAACCACTCCTATGACACGTCGGAAGGACAGACACAGCTCCTGAACGCTCGGGTGGCGGGGTTGTGCTTAAGAATCGTGTACTTTTTTTTTTTTTTAAGTACAGTGAGAGTACGAGCCTGGAAGACATTAACTTGTGAACTGCGTCCAACACACCCCAAGAGAATCCATAGCTCTTAAACGAAAAGGAGGAAGGGTACTTTACCATCCTGTCCCGAGCTTTCCAGATACTCTGTCAGGTCACATCCAAACGCACTGGCGGCTCCCTTTCGTTTCAGCTTCTGCTTGGCACCCTTGTTCTTCATGAGTTAGTCCCACAGAGGCTGCCCCTCCGTCTCCACTCTCTGCTCCACACCGCTGACGAGGGTTTCGGGGTCGGGTCACCGGGGCAGAGCGGCGCCGCGGGTCGGCATGGGCGCGCAGATCGGGCCGTGCACCGCCCCGAGCGGGTGTCACCTCCCTACTCGGACTCCCGGGGTGTCTCCCCGCTCTTCTCTGAGCCTTGCGAGGAGCAGGGGCCGGGGCGCGGCGGCGAGGGGACCGCCCCGGGGCTGTGAGTGTGCTCCTGCTCCGCCCTAGGCCCGCGCTCTGCCTTCAGACCGCTGGGGGACCGCGACCAGCGAGCATCCCGTCCCCCTCGCTCGCCCTCGCGCCGTCCCTTTTTTTTCCTGTCTTACAAATCCCAGAATCGTCCAGCTCAGGAAGCGCTGGAAGGAAGTCAGCTCGGGAGGGGGGCGGAGGTTGGAAATTTTTGGCAACTCTGTGTGTGTGTGTGTGTGAGTGTGTGTGTGTGTGTGTGTGTGTGTGCACGCAGTCGAAGGAAGTAAGTGGGTGGGTTTAGCCACGCGGGCTGGGGGGAGAGATCGTGCTCGACCGAGGCGGGTCTGCGAGTCCAGGGATCGCCCAGGGCCGCCCGGGAGGAAATCGGCCTCGCGAGGACCTGCGGCCACCCTCCCGCTTCCTGCCGCCAGCCGGGCTCTGCACAGCACAGGAGGCGGTGCCCGGCTCTGCAGGGAGGGCGCCGGATGGGTGCTCACGAAGTTGTCCTCCTTGTCATCCCAGTCCTGAGACTTTCTATTTCAGTGCCTGCCCTTCTCCTCCGCAAACACAAGTATAGTGACATTAACAAAGACTTGGGATTCCAGAAACCTGACCGATGAAGGCTTTCCGTTGGCCACTCCCATCTCTTGGAGCCTGGGTCTGAGGTCCCTGAAGCCCAGAAGTGTCCTCTCCCACGCTGAAGTTAGGATACCCTCGGGCTTGAGAGGTGCAGCTTTGTAACCACTGCCCAGGAAGCTATATTTCTAGTTACAAATTCAAGTCCAGACACACACGTGTGCACACAGACACACATCTTATTTCTAGTTACACATTCTAATTCACACACGCGCGCGCGCACACACACTCACACCATCCTTGCTAAATGCAAGAGATTTGAGCAGAAACCCCAGGATTTAAGGGGGCTCTGTCATTTTGCCATCACGCAGAGAACAGTCTTCCGGGTTGTTTTAAAACTTGAGAGGTGTGCTTTCAGGAGGGTATGTTTTTCCTTCCCTTAGTTGGAATTCCTTGACTTCTGTGTACTCAGCACATACTGAACACTCAAAGTCTTGTGTCTTAACAATTTGAAGATTAGATTAAACTTCCTGTATACATTCAAATTCATATATAGGCTTGAAGGGTAGGGATATTCATAAAGCTGGCAAAAGCATTGTATGTAGTATTTAGTTACGAATTCCCTTTAAAGTCACTTACAAGTCATCATGACAGTTTATGAACTTTGAACTCTGACCTTTTTCTATGTTGGCACATAGCCGGATAGCCAGTCTACCAAATCTGGCCTACAGATGTGTGTGTGTGTGTGTGTGTGTGTGTGTGTGTGTGTGTGTTGGGAACTTGTCATGTTTTTAAAATATAAGTAGCCAATATTAAAGAATCAAGGCATTTCTTTATAAGAAATGTGGATTTCTGTCGTCTCCTATGAAATGGAAGCTCTGGTTATACCACAAGCGTGTTCTCACATAGCAAGGACTGTGGATGCTAAGGTACAACAGCCCTCACTAGAGATGGACCTTCTAGTTTGTAGTCCCTCTGCCTGTCTTCCAGCTTTTACACCTGGTGGCCTCTGGAGCCACTTGAGTTGGTGCCTGGTCCCCAAGCTCTCCTTACTTCCATATTCCCATGTCTCTCAGTGACATCAGCACTGGCTAAGTCCTGATGAGACATCTTCAAGTAACCACTGACTCATTGCTCTCTCTCTCTCCTCCTTCCAAGTTAGTCCAGCCCCCAAAGCATGAGTCCTTTACAATGCCGCCCAGTTGGGGTTCTTCACGGCCAGGACTCCTTGGTAGCAATCACATACTCCTTAGTGGTTAGAATACCCACTCCACCATTTGCTGAGTCCAAGCTCCTCCCACCTCCCCCATCCTAGGTAGTAGAAGCCTGATGGGTTCTCCTAACCACTGCTGTCATTCATGTGCTTGCTTGCTCAAAATCTATCTCCGACTTTGTTTCAAAAAGCCAGAGCAGCAATTCCCAAGCATCCTGTAAGCTGTTTGGATTGTTTACTATAATGGCTTGCTTCTCCTTTTATTTCCAGAGAAGCATCTCTTTGTGGAACTGTTAACCTTTGCTTAGTGCCTCAGCAAGGACTTTCAGAGTCTTATTTTTCCCCTCTCTTCTTCCTTACTTTAAGCAGATTCTTTTATAGGACCATGGTGTGTGTGTGTGTGTATTTGGATCCCAAAGATTTCTTCCGTTGTACTTTGGATTTCCTAGAATGCGAGGCTATACAGTGATAGAGTAGGAATGTTCACTGAAGAAATAAGTAAACTATCTGGTGATAAGTTATGAATTTACTGGAAAAGCATTTTTGCTTACTGAGACCCAGCAATGAAAAGTCCTGTGGTTGCTTACCACTCCCTTACCTGTACCTACTAAAGACCAGTGGCTACTCAAATCTTCCCCATCATTAATAAATAGAGGCTGAACAACCAGTATCAATAGGTTTTAGTATCACCTGTGGTTACAACTTTTCCTTTACCCGGTTTGCCCATAACACTAGATTTAGTATCAGCAACTTCAGCGTTCATATCCCTCTCCAGGGAGCCAACTAAATGCTCTCATGAGACTCCTCGTCCATGATCTGAATTTCCTGTTCTCCCATGCTGGCGTGTTAGCCTGTTCCCTAGCCAGGTGCATTTCTTCCCTACTTCCTCCTCTTCCTGCCTCCAGCAGTCCCTGTTTTGAAGGTGCTGGATGGTATCTGGGGGTGAGATCAGCTGCTAGGGAAGCTCTTTGCGACAACAGCTTGTGTCTTACCTAGCCCTCTGTACTCCAGGGCTTGGAGGCCAGCAAAGGATGAGGATGACCAAGGAAAACGGGCTTCAGCAAGCTAGCATCCCAGGCTCCACTACTGCACTTCTTGTGCATGGGACCTAAGGTGACGTTACATTGCAAATGGCTGCCTCTGAAGGTCCAGATGAGGTGGGCCAAGCTTTGTTAGAGGGCATGCAAACTGACGGAGCCACACTGCTGCCACTAACAAAACACAAGTGAAGACTTCCGCTTCTGGAGAGAAAAGGAACAGGAAACCGGAATGAATTCCCCATCCTGACCAATCCGTTGTCCCCCAGTGCTCTGCCATCTCCACATCTATGAAAGCAAGTGTTGCTTCTAACAGGACTTCTAGGCCAGGAGTGAGCTTAAGCAGTGTTAAGAATGAGGAAGAAGGCCGGGAGGTGGTGGCACACGCCTTTAATCCCAGCACTTGGGAGGCTGAGGCAGGCGGATCTCTGTGAACTTGAGGCCAGCCTGGTCTACAGAGCAGGTTCCAGGACAGCCTCCAAAGCTACACAGAGAAATACCCTGTCTCAAAAAGCCAAAAAAGAAAAAAAAAAAAAAAAGAATGAGCGTGAAGGGATTTCAGAGGGTCTCCCCATTTCAAATACTGACATGAAATATTTGTCTGCCTGTATGCCTGCCTGCCTGCTTCTTTTGGAAAACTACATCACTCAGAGTGAGAGCTACACACATCACTTTGCTCTCCCACCTGAAAAAGTAAGTAACTAGGAATTTGAGGTGAGGAAGTGTGGAAGGGAAGAGATGTTAGAAAACGATTAGGTTACAAATGCCCCACCCCACCAGCCATAAGAATGTCTAGCTGTAAGAAGGTAGAGTCAAAGGCCAAACCAAGTTCCTAATAGCTGGGCACTGGTAATGGTAACTCAACCTACTTCTTGCACGAAATATTCTTTGACAGTATAAAAGGTAACAGAGTAGAAACTCACAGAATGGAGGATGAGTTATCTACATATAATATTTAAAGTAAGACATAAATTAAAATTTCTTCACCAGTATTTTAGTCACTCTTCTAATATCTTTACATTGAATACTGTCACTTTTTTTTTTAATCTAAGAGGTCTGGAGATTTTCTGTGTTTTCCTGAAAGTTAAAAAATAGAAAACCATTGTGACATTTGACCCATATGCACAGCTTGTCATTAAACGAGCCTTTAGTATTTCAGAAGCCATGAGTGAGCACAAAACTCACTTGTCCCACTCTCTCAAAATGGGCCCGGAGGCTGCCAAAGAGCAGTGGGACACTTCCTTCCTAATCCAGTACTGAAGAGAGACTTCAAGGCCACAAAGAGAGCCAAAAGTCCCTGCTGAATTGCTGTTATGCCCACATCTGAACCTACATAGCCCACATCTGAACTTGCACAGGGCCTAGCCTTAGGCTGCGAGTCTGAGTTTGGATCCATTTGTCTTGAGGCCTTTGATCAGCAGCCCAGAGAGAAAAATGACTGGACTGTTCTTTAAGAGTGGCCCCAGAAGCTTGCCAGGTCTGTCCTGAGCCTCTGGAGGTGTTTCCTGATCCCTCCCAGTAGCTACAGCTTGAGATCTTTTCTTTTGCTATGTCTTCCACTTCTCAAACTGAACCTTGGGCAGGAAAAGCACTCTTCATTGGCGAGGGGAGTTCTCAGGATGAACACTGTCTTGCCTCTTTGACTTCATTTCTGTAATCCTGGTTTGGTTCTATTGCCTTCTTCAACCTCTCTTTCCTTTCTCACTGGATTCTGCACCCTTTGGGCACGATGCCTTTATTTTTTCTTCCTGACTTGGAAAAAGAAAACTATAGAAGGATCAGAGCTGGGCTCTGAGCCCCATCTGTCTCCCTCCAGGGTCCCTCCACATTGGAGCAAGCAATTTTCTTAGGTGGGTGGGGATCTGTCCCCGCCCCGTTCATTGTGTTCCACAGCTTCCTGTACACTGCCTGTAACCCTTTACCAATCTGCCAGGCGCCTCTTAACACAAAAGAAAGGCGAGGGGGTAGGGACTGCTGAGGAAAAACATCCCTATAAATAGCCTCTTGAACGAAATTGTTTTCCTCACACACAGTTGTTGTTAGGCCTTGACGCCCCCTAGTCTTCCTCCACACTCTCCTCCCCTTCCACTCCAGCCTTCCTTTCCATGCTTGCTTTTCCTCCTCAGGCCTGCTGAGAGAGGCAGGTGTAACTGGGGGCATGTGGAAGCTGCAGCTCTCCAGCCCAGGTTGCTGCTCCCAGCTGCAGGTAGAGGCTGCTGGGCGGGTGACAGAGCTGGATCTGGGTCCTAGGTCAGGCACTGCTGAGTTTTTGCTGTAGGACCTCCGTTGGGTCAGCTTTCTAACCTCAGGGCCCTCATCTTAATGAGGGTGGTGGTAACACCTTGTAGAGTTGCTATGATGATTTAAAAAGATATTGGAAAGGCCTGATCATTAATCTGTACCTACATTGGTGCTGCATACACTAACGAGTATTTTGTTTGTTTCCTTTACACAGAATCAGTCTTTTTTGCAGCTCATCCAGTGTTTTTGATGTGTCTGCCTCCCCACCCCCATTTGGCATTCTGGTTTCCTAGCCCATGTAAACCGGTGTGTAAGCCTTAAGCTTATTTAATCTTCATTTATTTATTTATACCTCCCTC